GTTTTCTTGCTTATAAAATGCCTTCAATGGATAAAAATAGCATCACCCCCACAGCAAGTCTCCAGCATTGGGATTATACATTCACTTTTTGGATTTAGCAAGAATAAATTGCCAAGAAGTCCTGTAAGAAGTACGCAATTAATTAAGATTAAGATCTTCATATTTTCTAAACCACTTGAAATATTAAGAACCAAATTAGAGATTTGAAATCAGCATGAAAAACTAGCTTAGGTAGTGAAGTTTGGTTAAGATTGAGCAAAAATTTTTAAAAAATTTTTAGAACCCACGTCCCCCCTCAACATGCTCTAAGTAATATGAAGTCTTCCAGTAATTCCAACGTCTCGTAACACCCCTTCAGTTTTGCCCTGAGTAACCGCAATATTATGAAATTCACAAAAGTTGCTGTCGGGTCTCGCTCATATCCCTTCTCGAGAATTGTTTTCAGAGGCAAGAAAATAGAGATACTTAAGCCACGTAAGACATTACGTGTCTTAAGTATTGTCGTACATTGACTCAATAAAAAAAGGTTTTCACCGAAAATAGGCGACCGCCATACATCGCGAGAGCAGGCCTGTAGCCAGAAATTTTTTGGGGGAGGGGGGGGGGGCACTTGCTAAAAACTAGAAAGGAAGGGCCCCTAACCCCCCCCCCCCCCCCCCCCCCGGCTACGGGCCTGCGTCTACCTGTGAGAGAAATTTCTGCGGAGAGCAGCGCGCGCTCGTTCGTATGTCGCCTGCGCAAAAGTACCCGCGCCTCTGCGTGCAGCGCTCCAAGCGGCATCTGCGAGCTTTGGGGACCAGTTTCAGCGGCCGCTTTTCACACCTCCTCATTCTAGCCACCCTACTCCCGTCCCTTTCCACAGCGTTACAGGACATGCCCCAAAACGGACTACTTTGCGTAGTGCTCCACGTGCAGAAACTCCACCTCCGTCGCTTTCCCTTCAGTGCCAAGAAACGTGTATGAAATGCGCACTCTTTTTTGCAAACGTAGCTTGTGGAGAGACTGAAGTGGCTTTAGTGAGCCCGACAACTACCGCAATTTTGTTCCAGTGAAAGCCAAAAGCACACTTCCCCCCTCCTCCTCTACGAGGAAAAGTATATGATATGCGCGCGTCAGCGCGTTGCGACGAGCTGAACGCCGAGTGCGGGCGGCTTCTTTTTTTTCTTGAGTTTTCATACATACTGTAGTGACACGTATCCCGAAGAAGTACGGCCACTAGCGTGAGTCCGGTCTTAGCGAGCCGCAGGGCACCGTCGCTGTGGCGAGAACACGTTGCTGCTCAAAGTCGCAACACTTTATTGTCTGTGGCTACACCAAACGCAGTACAGCTCGTTGCAAAGGCGCGGCGGGAAAGCTAATGGGCTTATCCACGCCACAGGCATAAAAGTACTACACTGGTAGCCACGAGCACGTCTCCGTGATAAAGGTGATCCACAGAGACACCGAGACCAATTCTCGGTTGCTCGAGCGAGGGCAAAGGCGCTCGCGTTGGCTTCGGAGAGATACGGGTCGGCGTAGCCTGGCCACGCACTAGGAACCCGCACCACTCTTCGGCCTAGCGTTCGGAAAGGGGGGCGACATAAGGTAAGCGTTCGCCGTGGGCGCGAGGCGCTGTTGGCGAAGTCCGAACGAGCCCTACAGGGAGCTGACAGACAGAAAAGAAAAGCATGCTTACCCCCATGTCGTTCCCGGAGATTTCTCTTGCCCGCTCCCGACGCACGCACGCAAAACCTCTTTGGAGACTCCGCACGCGGCGCCACAGTCCTCATCCGCTACCGGGTGAGGGGTTAAACGTCACTCCGCTCTCCCAGCGTGGCAGACAGCGAAGGAGGGGAGACATGACGGGAAATGACAACGATAAAAGAGGCGGCAAAGCCCGCGCAAAGGCAGCGGACCGGCCTCAATTCCCACAATACAGATACGTATACATATACAGTGAATGACAGCGGCGATGACAAAAAACCAGCCTACACTGTTCATATAATTGCTATCGTAATAAACAGGGGCCAAACACGTTTTTGCGTTCTGTCAAAAGAATCTAATAATGAGCAAAGCTGTGACACGAGCTTTTGCGGCAGCCAGCTGCGGCGTCCAGTTCGTTCACGTGTGTCCCAGAAAGACGTACGCGAGTTGTTTTTGACGGAAATAGATTCTGTTAGTTCTGTTGATCCTTTGAGGCTCTCAGCTTAGTGGGAAACCCTACCCTTTTGTGTTCGACCACTCCAAACCACTATAAGACCCCAACCCCTCTTGTTTTTTTTTTTTTTTTTTTTTGCTTATTTCGCCTAGGTTTTTTTTTTTTTTTTTTTTTTGTCGAACAAAAAATAGGAGCAAATGATTCAGTGCACCCCCTTCCCTAGTGGAAGTCTCGCGGATTCAGAATTTTTGAACTTGGCAGGTATGCAGTTCGTTTAAAACGCATATCGAGCCATATCGGAGTTTCGCGTCCCGTTATGTAGCAAATCTGTCAACGAAGCCCGATGACAGAGCGCTGATACTCGACCAGCTTGTTATGGAAATCTGGGCAGTTTTTGGCACACGGAAGTACGCCGCCTGAGCGCAAAGCCCTTCCACTTCATAAATCGGCGCACCCATGATGACGAGCCCTCATAATCATAGGGTGGTTTTGGGTCGTTACACCCTACATACCGTAAAAACCCGCGTGTGTAGCCCGGGGTTTTTTTCTAAAATTTAGGGTGCGCAATTTCAGCCCCGTACTATATGCGGATCCCAAAAAAGTTTCGGCCCGAATTCAGTTTTGTTTTTGGCATTAATTGGTGCTATCATCATTATCAGGTGTCTGCGCACTTCTACGTTAGGTGGCGTGGTAGCGTGAGCGGCGTTAGTCCTAGAGACCTATAGGTACAGGCGTGCATCAGGCGAGCAACAGTGGCCATTGCAATCACTTGGCGCACATCACGACGGCCACGATTTTACGTGATTTTAAGCCATGTCGGGACCGCGCAGGCAGTACTCGGCTGCCTTTAAGAGGAAAGTTATTTCTGCTGCCGAAACCATAGGCAACTGTGCCGCGGAGCGGCAGTTCGGCGTGAATGAGCGGAGCATTCGCGGTTGGCGGAAGCAGAAGGAAGCTCTTTTTGCATGCTGCGGCAAGAGAAAAAGTTTCCGGGGAACGAAAAATGGAGCATTTCCAGACGTGGAACGAGAACTGACGGACCTTGTTCGGGAGCAACGAGCTGCACAACTCGTTGTGCACATCGAGCTGCTGCAGGCAAAGGCAAGGGAGATCGCTCGAGACAAAGGCATTCCGCCTGCGGACTTCAAGGCAAGCAAGCATTGGGTGTCTCGCTTCCTGCGTCGCGCTGGGTTCTCCCTACGTCGGCGTACGTCGGTCTCGCAGAAGCTGCCAGAAATCTACGAAGAGCTGCTTGTCGTCTTTCAGAAGCACGTGATTTCTTTGCGAAAGGCAGTCCCCTTTCAGCTGGGCCAAATCGGCAATGCTGACCAGACGCCCGTGTACCTGGATATGCCCTCGGCTCTAACGGTGCATCAAAAAGGCTCCAGGCAAGTTACCGTGCAATCAATTGGAAACAAGAAAATGCGGGTAACTGTAATGCTGTCCTGCACGGCAGACGGGCGCAAGCTGCCACCCTACGTGGTGTTTAAACGAAAGACGCTGCCGAAGGGGGAGACGTTCCCAAAAAATGTTGTCGTCCACTGCCAGGACAAGGAGTGGATGGACGAGTCACTGGTGTTGGACTGGATCAAGTCTGTGTGGTGTCGACGGCCCGGAGCACTGCTGGGGCTCCCATCGATGCTTGTGCTCGACGCGTTTCGGTGTCACCTGGCGGACTCCGTGAAGCGACTGCTGCGCGACTTCCGCACTGAGCTCGTCGTCATCCCGGGCGGGATGACATCCCAGCTACAGCCACTTGATGTGTGCCTTAATAAACCGTTTAAGGACCACATCAGGCGCCTGTATATGGAGTGGATGAGGTCCGGAGAGCCAGAAGTGACCCCTGCCGGACGGCTGAAACGGGCCTCGCCAGCTCTGCTCTGCTCGTGGATCGCCGAGGCGTGGGCCTGCATTCTCGAGGCGCTCGTTTGCTGTGCCTTCAAGAAGTGCTTCATCTCAAACGCACTTGATGGCACGGAGGATGAGGTGCTGTGGGAGGACATTTCGAACAAGGGAGATTCGGAAGACAGTGTGTCAGACGAAGGTGACGACTAATCGTGCGCGTGCGTGCGCATGCAAGTCTGTAAATAAATGCATTTTTTCTGTTTTCCTCAAACAATATTCGCGTGAAAATGTTTTTTCTCGCGTTTGCTATCCCCGAGTTACACCTCGAACTATACGTGGGTCCGAACTATATGCGGGTTTTTACGGTATCAATCAAATGAAATCTAAGAAATCGAGCGCATGGTCCGCGCTCGAGCAATTTTTTGTTTTATTCAGTCTCTCTTTTTTTTTTTTTCACCTTTTTTCAATTACCGTAGGTCACATAGCTAGCTGAGGGGCATTTAGCACAGGTACGCAGTAAAAGACTAAAAGCCTTTTAAAAACTTGATTGCACTATACTTAGCTGTTAACTCATTTATATTATGTGCTAAAGATAAATCGCAAGGGGCACACTGGCAAGAGCTGTCCTCCCCAGCCTGAACACAAGAAAAGTCCGGACTCCTTTCCCCCTCCCCCATGATTCACGCCAATGATGCTACTATTCGCCTTGTATCGTGTTGTGTGTCTCTTTTCTGCTTTGTGTGTGTGTTCCTCTCGTGCTCCCAGTTCGCTGATCAATTATGAATTGGCAATTAGCCCACCTTTCTATCTTGTTGCTTGTATACTAGCTGTGTACGGCATATTTATTAGATGCTTAATTGATGTTTCAGACTTCATGAGTCGTTAATGCATCTGCTCTGAAGACACTTGAGCCTGCTCCAAACAGCAGAATGTGGCTTTCATCACTGTGCATGCAAACATTGAATTGAAGTTGCAGGTGTGCGCAAATTTTCAGGCTGTCTCAATGCACTGTTAACAGGAAGAACGGGACAAGGGCAAGACTGTGGAAGTGGGCCGTGCCTACTTCGAGACTGAGAACAAGCACTTCACACTCCTGGATGCACCAGGCCACAGATCCTTTGTGCCCAACATGATCGGAGGTGCATGCCAGGCTGACTTGGCGGTGTTAGTGATCTCGGCGCGCAAGGGCGAGTTTGAGACAGGCTTTGAGCGAGGGGGCCAGACGCGAGAGCATGCCATGCTGGCCAAGACGGCTGGGGTTCGACACCTGGTCGTCCTGGTCAACAAGATGGACGACCCCACGGTGGAATGGTCCGAGGAGAGGTCAGTCGTCGTACTCTCTTGATGCCTGCACTTTGCTACGCAGTTATAAACATCGTTCTCATGTACTGCTGACTGGGCGAATTGGTGCATGATCAAATGATATTGCTTTAGTGCAACTCAGTTTGAGCGTCAAGATGATATATGGTGAAGATGGGAAAAAAACGGACAGTGTTAGTGCTCACACTCTGTTTTTTTTCCCCTTGACCATATACAGTCGAATCTCGATAATTTGAACTCGAAGGGGCTCGAAAATTGGTGTAAAATAAAAGAAGTCCAAATTAATGAAAGCTAAGTAAACTGAGGGCTCCCCATGCACTGGCGCATGTGCATAGAGCTATCACACGTGGGGGAAGTTTCAGAAGACATACATTTATTCACAAATCACAGGACATCCATCATTAATTGAAGTAATTGGTGATGCACGTTTGCCTTGCAATCAATTTTCCACGCAGTCAATCAATCAATTTCGAGTCAATCGATTTCGCACGCAGCTTGCAAAGCATTTCTACTTCGGCGTCAGCATTCTCCTGGCAAGAGAAGTTGCGCGTGGAAATGTGCCGTTGCCAGCCAGATAGGAAGTAGACGCGGCGCGAAGCGCTTTGTGCCAGAGTCTCACGTAACTCATCAACCCATCATCATCGGTAAGTCTGTGCCAGCACTTCCTCCTAGAGCTGGGTGCTGAGAGAATTTTCAGAGCGCGGTATGTTCCAATTCACCGTCGCAAGTGTTACGCGTTCGAATTACCGGGCGCTTTCGCCCATTGAACTACACATAGCTTTGATGGGACCTCATTGCAAGTTCAAATTACCTGAAGGTTCGAATTAAGCGTGTTCGAACTAACGAGATTCGACTATATTTTCAGTTTCTGTAGCACTTTTTCTAATTCTAAATTATCTTCACTGCAAACCACGCAGAAGTGCTTTTAAAAATAGTTGTGCACCAGAGGTGGTGAAAGTTACTGTGGAAATTAAAAAAAAAAAGTTTTTTTCTTTTAATTTTTGTTCCACCAGGCAAATATTTTTGCTCTGCCAGGCACGGCTATCTGGTGCTTGTCGGAAAGAGAACTTCTCTGGTTTCCCATTCCCCGCCTCAGCTCGCTCCTCCCTCTAAAAACAAGCGCATAAAAAGCAAATTTCTGAAGCTCCTTTCGGGGCCCCCAATTGGCTGTGGTCACCATAATGCTCCGGCATGCCACGTCATTGGTCCGATCGTCGCTCTGTGTGTGCATCGTCTGCAGCCTCCGCGTTGCGAGGTCACGACTGTTGATAATCGCACTATTTAGTCACTCTCTGGCATAATTATTATGTCTTCAAAGGTCGACGATAATTACGCTTTAGTTGATGTTCCAGCAAACTCAGTCATCAGATTACAGTAGCGGGACGCGCCTGTCGTGAACATCGCAAAGCATGCCTCGGACCTTTATTCATTTCACTCGTAGAACTCACTGTTGAACGTCTTGCCCGCCAGCATATTTGAGTTCATGGTGAAGATTTGTGGTCAGCGTGACCACCCTTGGTACTCACAGTCTAAGTTAACATGGTGCTCCTTGAAATAGCCACCGCGTCTGTGCTCATCGCGATCAGAGTCTTGGTTACGCCTAACCCCTCTCACGGTGCGGTTCGAAATTAATTCTAACTTTGCGAGCAAGATTGTTGTGCTAGCAGACATGCAAATGTGAACAAACCGCAATGTGCTTCATCGCCAGCAGCAAACCACATCGTAGAACATGCGATGGCGCCTCGGAATCGCTCGGAATCACAAATCGGCATTTTACACGTCGGCAACGGACCCCACAGCCATGAAGCAACCACGGCCACACTCGTCACACAGCAATTGCTCGAAGCAGTGCGGTGATTTCACGCGTTAGCGTTCTAAAAATGCGAGGTCAAGCACGTAGCACGCGGATGTGTTGTCGCTGCGCCTAGCATGTCATATTGGACACAGACTTTCCAGACACCACGGCCAGCTCTTGGCGGGGAACGTAAACACTCGGTGGTGATATAATTTAGGCGCATTTTGAGCCGTGCTTCGTATCAGAGCAAGTGTTTTTAAATGTACTGAAATAATGAAGGCCTTGCCGACTACGTTTGCATGACCAGGTGACGGATGAACTCAGATATATGAATCTGGGTTAGATGACACCACACATGTTGATTAGGCATTGATTTTGTCGCATTTAGGCATTTTCTTTAAGCGTTTTTAAACCTTGACTGCACCAAATGAGTGAAAGCAGAGGTGTGGAGTCATCAGATCTTTTAAAGAAATCGTGAATTGCCAACTGATTTTTTTGCTATATGTGCCTTCAGCACAGACCGACCCCTCTGTACCAGTTGAGGAGCATCACGGTTCACTGTGCTTGTGGGTCATTTAAAGCAGTTATTCACTAGCAGAGTCTTTTTCCTCGAAAGCCTAAGGCACTTATGTGTCATTTTTAGACTGTTAAGATTATATAAGCCGCAAATTTTTAAAGGGTAGTGAAAAAGCAAGCAGATATTTTTCGGTATGGAACTGCAAAAAGTATGAATTAACTAAATGAGTTAAAATTAAGAGCCTTCCAAATGCATTGAAAGTATAGAGGGCCAACCAAAATGATTGAATTTCGTTTGAATTAACTGAAAGTATGAGTTACCGTAGACTCTCAGGTAAACGGAACTATTTCTTCTGCGATGCTTGGTTTCGTTATTGTGTCCTACACCCATGTTCACCTCTCAGTAAACGGAACTCCTGTTAATTGGAACATATTTTCCGATACCTTCAGGTTCCGTTTACTGAGAGTCTACTGTATCGGAGTTTTAATTATCGGGAGTCTACTGTAGTGCAAATTGTGCACAAGGCAACAGCTTCAAATCTAGCCCAAAAAGGCAGCGCTCAGCCTGCTGCCGAGGCGTTTTGAAGGCCCATTTTATCGCATTTCCCGACTGAATTCAGCATTATTTGACAGTAGGTGCTCAGACGTACAAACGTCGCAAATCAGTTTCGCAAAAGAAAAAAAATCAATTTTTTGGCAATTTTCCGTCGCTCTAACATCTACGTCTCTCCTTTTCGAGACTAAAACACTCTTCTTGCGGGTTTCTTCTATATGCTAGGACACTCCGCACGAATGGTCAGATACGGCAAACGTCTAAAATATATTTAAATTAACCTCCGAAGTGTACCTAAATGCTCATTCTCGAAGCCCATCGCAAGCGTGTCCAAAACATCCGTAGCTCTCTTGGAAGGCCTACGAAAGTTGCAGTGGCGTCACACGAGATATGTAGTGAGCAGGCGCAAGCAGGTTTCTCCTTTGTGGGGGGGGGGGGGGCAAAGGTTTTGATAGCATATTCTCTCCCTCTTGTGTCTGTGCACAGGGCTTGACATTGCCCCCCTCTCCCCAAGTCGCAGCGCCCCCTCCCTGTTATGTCTATGACATAACGATGATGATGCCATGATGATGATGGTGAGCTTAATCATCAACCGCTCTGATAGTCAACCCTGAATGCAGCCTATGTACGAGGCATGTGTGCGCCACAAGACGCAAACGACTTTACGGGGAGTGAGCACCCCCATAGATCTCGCAACGTGCTAGCAGTAGACAACACTCTCCCGGAGCAAGCGTTGCACCAATAGCAAGGCAAGCTGGGGCAAAGGCAGACGCAGCGAACTGGAGGCCTCGAAACGACCCTGCAGTATTTGCTTTTTGGGCACGTCTTTTTAAAAGGAGGATCCAGCTGAAGCAGGGAATCGTTTGAAGAGTCCAAGAAGCCAGCTCACAGTTGAGCTATTGTGGAGCTATAAGTTCTTTAAAATTGCTGTTTTTTTTTTTCGTGTTTTTTATTGCCTACCCACCTAGGTGCTTGCAACAATTTTTTTTTTTTTTCGAAGCACTTTTGCGTGGTTTTCAGAGTAGATATTTTGGAATCTGATATCAAAAATGTACCAAAAAGATAAGATAGGATTTTCAAAAAACTGCTTTTTTTTTTTCTTGCCTTTTTGCACATTTTCAAAACTCATTCTGGCCCGCTTAGTGCTAGAGACTAGAACAGATAAAGGAGGAACACTAGATTGCTTCTTCTTTTGTGCAACGTCCGCAGCGCACACCGCCACTGTGTATTGCACTATTGATTGTGACAGCATTCTAAACTTTACTGTGCTCGTATTTGCTTGAAATGTAAATGAAGGTGTTTTGGGGCTTTTATGCTAAATGCAAAAGGAATTTTTGGTTACAGTAAAATATGTGCGCTGAGTCCTTCTATTGCCTTAATCGTGCCCAGCCCAGGGCTTCGTTGGAGGCTTGCACCCTGTGGTCATGTCCTCTTCCATATCCCTGGGACATTGTACTCTCCTGAGCCCTTCTAAAGCAGCACTGAATATATCTGGTGTCAGCGTTGTAGGAACTCGGAGGACATGTAAACCTTGATTTGTGCCGGCAGGTAAGAGTGTATAGTGCGGCTTAACTTCTGGGCTATCATGCTTAGTCTTGGTGTAAGCAAAATAATTCAGGCGACCATAATAAAGATAAAATGATGAAGATCCCGCGGTGTCATGTCGAAAGGAATTATATGTGAAAGTCACATTGGCCAACATGGCGACCCAGTCTCCGTGATCTTGAGAGACGTACATCGATAACATTTCTGTGAGCATGCAGTTGAGATGTTCAGTTAGGCCATTAGTTTGTGGGTGGTAGGTGGTAGATAGCTTGTGCTCTGTGGCACACGATCGAAGGAGGTCGTCGACAACACTAGAAAAAAAAAAGAGGGGCCCGTATCTGTAAGCAACTGTTGGGTGCACCGTGTTGTAGGGTGACGTCATGAAGAAAATCCGCGACATCAGTGGCGCTACTGGTTGGCCTGGCCTTTGTTGTCGCGTAAGGGGTCGCATAATCTATGGTGACTGCGATCCATTTATTCCCCAGTGTCATCGTCAGAAATGAGCCAAGAAGGTTGTCCCATGCGATGAAATGGTGCAGAGGAGACGTCAATTGTGTGAAGATATCCAGCTGGCAGCAAAGGTCTTTTCCGGTG